CCGTTGGAGGGCTGGGTGCACTGCTGGAGGGCTGGGTGCACTGTTGGAGGGCTGGGTGCATGTTGGAGGACTGGGTGCACTATTTGTTGGAGGACTGGGTGCTCTGTTGGAGGACTGGGTGCACTGTTGGAGGGCTGGGTGCACTGTTGGAGGGCTGGGTGCACTGTTGGAGGACTGGGTGCACTGTTGGAGGACTGGGTGCACTGTTGGAGGACTGGGTGCACTGCTGGAGGACTGGGTGCACTGTTGGAGGACTGGGTGCACTGTTGGAGGACTGGGTGCACTGTTGGAGGACTGGGTGCACTGCCGCAAAGGGCTGTGCTATACAGCTTCTGGAACTCGGGCTCCACCTGCATTGTCTCCCTGCGTTCTCACGTCCTGGTTTCTGCCTCCTGGTCCGGCCACCCAGCCTAGACACATGCAGCCAGGGTGTGAGCCCACCTTGACGTCTGAGGACCCCGCTGCAAGACACTTATTTGTGCTTAAGTCCAGTGGCCGAGCTCACTGCGCTGGCAGGCTGGCTGGATCTTCCTCGGCCTGGTGCAGGGTGGAGCGTAAAGAAGGTGAAACAGGATGGTAGAGAACGATTTGCTCCATCACAGGAGACTGGCAGTTTGCAAAGCGAGCTCGACCTGCTTCATGGGTGTGGTTGCAAATTGTGGCTGGGTGCTCTGGGTGAGAGCTCAGGAGTCAAGGGGCGTGCAGGGGCGTGCTGGTGGGACAAGGCTGGGGGTGCCATTGGGGAGGTGACAAGGGGATGCAAATAAGTGCAAATGAGATAATGACCTTCACATATCCTGTGGAATATTTCTCCCTCCCCACTCGGTGAAATGTTTGTTTGGAAGTACACGTTATGTTATCCTCAAGTCTGACCAAGAATAGGCCTGAAGAAAAGCAGCTCAGTCACAGTAAGAGAAGCGGGCTGGACTTTGATGATGCATTGCTGGCCTCTCGAGTCTGACGGGATATCGTGAGACAGTTGGACGTGACTGGCATCTCCTTGGGCGGCTGCGTTCTGGCAGCATGGCCCATCTGGAGGGTCGAGGTTGTGTCCCGGCACATCCCTCCCCATCCCTGCCTCCCGTCTCTTCCCCTTTCACTCCCACTTGACTTTCCTTCCTCTCTTCCTGATACTCTTTTATTTAATTTTGCTTCAGACACCACAAGGTATCCAGGGGACACTGGTGAACAGAGAAACATACACTCCTGGCTGTCACGGAGCTTATTGTACCATAAAAATAAAGGCCTGATAAACAACCTAGGGATCGGGAGGGAGTGGAAATGTGAGAAAAGGAATTGGGTGTTAAATATGGCTTCCTTGGGACGTTGGCTCAGTTACCAGCTCCAGAAGAGGCTCGAGTTTAGAGGTGAGGTCACGGATTTGATTCTGAACATGATGGGTTTGAAATGCCAGTGAGACGTGAAGTGGGCGTGTTGGAGTGGATTGGGGCAGGAGGCGAGATTCTGAGAGGAGCCGCTGGCTCATCCCGAGGTATGCATGGTGTCAGGATGGAGTGAGCCACGGCAGTGAAGGGGACGCATGGACAGTGTGGGCTGAGAAGACATGGGTCTAGCTGCAGCTGAGAAGACCTTCCTTACTTGGCAGGAAGAAGTGGGAAATCAGGATATCACTACCAAGAAATAGATGTTCAGGAAGAGGTCAAGTCAGAACTGTAGGATTATGTAAGAAAACATTCTTGTAGCGCAGCATGAGAGCCTAGTGGCTAAATCCTCCCACCTGCGCGTGCCGGGATCCTAAATGGAAGCCAGTTCGTCTCCCAGCTGCTCCACTTCCCATCCAGCTCCCTGCTTGAGGCCTGGGAGAGCAGTCGAGGACGGCCCAAAGCCTTGGGCCCCTGCACCCACGTGGGACACTCAGAAGAAGCTCCTGGTTCCTGACTTTGGATCAGCTCAGCTGCAGCCGTTGTGGCCACTTGGGGAGTGAACTAGTGGATGGAAGATCTTTCTGTCGCTCCTCTCTGTAAAATCTGACTTTCCAATAAAAATAAGTAAATCTTTTTTAAAAAAAATTAAAAATATTATTTTATATATTTTAAAATATTTATTTCCTTTGAAAGAGTTGCATAGAGAGGGAGAAATATCTTCCATCCACCAAGTATCTCCCCAAATGGCTGCAGGACCAGAGATGGGCTGGTCCAAAGCTGGGAGTCAGAAGTTTCGTTCAGGTCTCCCACGTGTATGCACGGGCCCGAGCACTTGGGCCGTCTGCTGCTTTCCCAGGGCGTTAGCAGGGAGCTGCAGCAGACGTGGAGCAGCCAGACTCAAACTGGCACCCATGTGCGATGTTGATGCCTCAGGTAGAGAATTAATGTGCTATGAAATCACAGCCAGTTACAGGAAGAGAACCAGCGTGCTGTGCCACCACGGCCGGTGCCACAGGTAGAGAACCAGCGTGCTGTGCCACCACGGCCGGTGCCACAGGTAGAGAACCAGCGTGCTGTGCCACCACGGCCGGTGCCACAGGTAGAGAACCAGCGTGCTGTGCCACCACGGCCGGTGCCACAGGTAGAGAACCAGCGTGCTGTGCCACCACGGCCGGTGCCACAGGTAGAGAACCAGCGTGCTGTGCCACCACGGCCGGTGCCACAGGTAGAGAACCAGCGTGCTGTGCCACCACGGCCGGTGCCACAGGTAGAAAACCAGCGTGCTGTGCCACCACGGCCGGTGCCACAGGTAGAGAACCAGCGTGCTGTGCCACCACGGCCGGTGCCACAGGTAGAGAACCAGCGTGCTGTGCCACCACGGCCGGTGCCACAGGTAGAGAACCAGCGTGCTGTGCCACCACGGCCGGTGCCACAGGTAGAGAACCAGCGTGCTGTGCCACCACGGCCGGTGCCACAGGTAGAGAACCAGCGTGCTGTGCCACCACGGCCGGTGCCACAGGTAGAGAACCAGCGTGCTGTGCCACCACGGCCGGTGCCACAGGTAGAGAACCAGCGTGCTGTGCCACCACGGCCGGTGCCACAGGTAGAGAATTAGCGTGCTGTGCCACCACGGCCAGTGCCACAGGTAGAGAACCAGCGTGCTGTGCCACCACGGCCGGTGCCACAGGTAGAGAACCAGCGTGCTGTGCCACCACGGCCGGTGCCACAGGTAGAGAACCAGCGTGCTGTGCCACCACGGCCGGTGCCACAGGTAGAGAACTATCATGCTGTGCCACTACAGCCGGTGCCACAGGTAGAGAACTAGCGTGCTGTGCCACCACGGCCGGTGCCACAGGTATAGAGTTGGCGTGCTGTGCTACCACGTTGGCCTCTAGAAAATTCTGTTTGAAGTTGTCCCTTTTTTCAACCAGTATTTGTTCATTGATTCCATGTGCCAGGCATTTAGCTCAGAGCTGAGAATACAGCATTTACATAGCAAAGCCTCAGCTCTCCTGAACAGAATATTCCAATAAGGAAAATAAACAGTAACTATGGCAATAAGGCTGGAGGGCCTGGCGGCGTGGGGCTGGAATGCCTCCCGGCCGGGGTAATCTGCTGCATGTTTCTTGGAATGATGGCACTGGGACAGTCCCTACCTAAAGTGAGGCGGAAACCCCAGGGCCAGGGTTCTGTGTTAAAGGACACTGCAGTGAGCCCAGGGACGCTGAGCAACAGTAGCGGGGCCAGCGGCCGGAGGAGAGTGAAGGAGAGGGTGCTAGGGAAGGTCTGGGCGTGATCCTGGATAAAGGACTGTTGGGGTCCCTCGGCTCTTCCTGGGACAGGAAGGAAAGCTGTCATATGTCCGTGGGACAGAAATGATGGGCTGCTCTGCGTTGCTCAAGGGAGGGCTGAAGCGGAGCGCAGCTGGAGTGTGAGGGAGAGTAGGGGTAGACTCAGATTTGGGGGACAAGTTGTGGGGAGGGAGCAGGCTGCCGAGCGCGGGGGGCCGGCCTGCCGCTGAGACTTCTCTGCGCGTGGGCTCGGCTCCTCGCTCTTGGGAGCGCCTCGGCTTCTGAGACACAGGCACAAAGGCACTTTTTTCCTTTTTTTTTTTTTTGTAAGATTTATTTATTTTTATTGAAAAGGCAGATATACAGAGAGGAGGAGAAACAGGAAGTTCACTCCCAAGTGACTGCAGTGGCTGGAACTGAGCCAATCTGAAGCCAGGAGCCAGGAGCTCCTCCAGGACTCCCACGCAGGTGCAGGGTCCCAAGGCTTTGGGCCGTCCTCGACTGCTTTCCCAGGCCACCAGCAGGGAGCTGGATGGGAAGTGGGGCCACCAGGGTTAGAACTGGCGACCATATGGGATCCCAGTGCTTGCAAGGCGAGGACTTTAGCTGCTAGGCTACCACACCAGGCCAGATTTTTAGCATTTATTTTTATTGAAAGACAGATATACAGAGAGAAGAAGATACAGAGATTAAGACCTTCCATCTGCTGGTTCACTCACCAAGTGGCTGCAACAGCTGGAGCTGAGCTGATCCAAAGTCAGGAACCAGGAGCTTCTTCTGAGTGTCCCACGTGGGTGCAGGGGCCCAAGGCTTTGGGGGCTTTGGGCCGTCCTCGACTGCTCTCCCAGGCCTCAAGCAGGGAGCTGGATGGGAAGTAGAGCAGCCAGGACATGAACCAGCACCCATTTGGGATCACAGCACATGCAAGGCGAGGATTTAGCCACTAGGCTACTGCAGTGGACCCATGTAGGCACTTCTGGCACAGACTTAATCTGTCTCCACACATGTGCGCATGGCTGAACTGAGGCCTGCAGTGGTTGTTCCCAGCCCCCTCTCCTGTTTTGTTTTACATTATTTTTTTTATTGGAAGGGCAGAAAGAGAAATCTTCCACGCACTTGTTCATGGTTGAAGCCAGGAGCCCGAAACACCACCTGGGCCTCCCATGTGGGAGGCAGGGCCTTCCCTGGTCCGTTAGCAGGGAGCTGCTTTGGAAGTGAAACGTCAGGACTCACTGGTGCTCCTCTGGGATGTCGACCTGGCGAGCGGCAGTTTGTCCCACTGCCACACAAGGCCAGTGCCCGCAGCGCATGCGCCCGTTCCTGTTTAAGCCTTCGGGCTAGGCCCGCCCTTTCCTAATGCCTTCCTCACTGCCCCCGTCACCTCCCTGTTCCTGAGGCTGTAGATGACGGGGTTGAGCATGGGGGTGAGGACAGTGTAGAAGACAGACACGGCGTCATCCTTGCCAGGCGAGTGGTAGCGTGCGGGCAGCATGTAGGTGTAGACAAGGGGCCCGTAGAAAAGGTTGACCACCGTCAGGTGGGAGGAGCAGGTGGCCAGGGCCTTCCTCCGCCCGTCCACAGAGCGCATGCGCAGCACGGCGGCCAGGATGAGGCCGTAGGAGGCGGTGATGAAGGTGATGGGGACCAGGAGGACCACCACCCCCGTCACGAAGAGCACCTGCTTGTACGCCTCGGTGTCCGCACAGGCCAGCAGCAGCAGCGACGGCACTTCGCAGAAGAAGTGGGCAATTTTCCGAGAGCCGCAGTAGGGAAACCGCAGGGTCAGAGAGGTCTGGATGGAGGCGTTGAGGGACCCTCCCAACCAGGAGGCCAGCACCATGAGCACACAGACCTGGCGGCGCATGAGCACTGGGTAGCGGAGAGGGTTGCAGATGGCCACGTAGCGGTCGTAGGCCATGAGGGCCAGCAGGAGGCATTCTGCAGCCCCCAGGAACATGAAGAAAAACATCTGTGCCCCACAGCCTCCGAAGGAGATGCTCGTCCAGCCGAAGAGGAAGCCCACCATCATCTTGGGCACGGTGACTGAAGTGAAGAAGATGTCCAGGAAGGACAGCTGGCTGAGAAGGAGGTACATGGGCGTGTGGAGCCGGGCGTCGGCCCAGATCAGGAGGACCAAGCAGGCGTTGCCAGCCATGGCGAGGAGGTAGGTCAGCGCCACCGTGCTGAAGAGGAACAGGTGCATCGGACTCTTGTTAAAAAGGCTGGTGAGAACAAAGCCAGAGCTGGAGGAGGAGTTCCAGGGCGCTCGGCCTGCTTCCTGCCAGTCCTCACTGTAGGAGCAAAGTGAACCAGCTCAGCCAGGGCTGAATGACAGTCCCTCAGACGGGGGTGGGGGCGCAGTGCACCGAGTGGCAGAGGGACTATGGCCTGGGAGGCTGGCAGACGGCAGGCGCCTTCGGAAGTGCCCTTCTGCATTTCTGTGGCTCAATGTTATTCCATAAAGAAAATGTAAACATGAAAACATGACATGCAGCAGAGCTGTACTCGGAGGGATGTTTATAACTTCGAATGTGTACGCCAGAATACAGTGCAACCAGATCGCGGTTTCCACGTGCAAAAGCTAGAGGGAAAGCAGCACGGTGCAGTGCTCTGTGCTTAGAAACTGCACGGCTAAACACATACACAGATAAACTAAAAACTTTATTCTTATGCCTAATTTGAAAACCTGGCCCACAAATATGTGAATTGAAAATGTTGAAAAGTCCTATGTCAGAGTCTAGGAGATGGATTTCTCTTGGAAATAGGGGAACCTAGAAACTGCCATGGCACCGCAGGTTAAGCTGTTGTTTGCATTGTCAACCTCCCATATCTGAGCACTGGCTTGAATCTCGGCTGCTCCGTTTCCAGTGCAGCTCCATGCTCATGTGCCTGGGAAAGCAGCGGGATGTGGCCCGGCTGGGTCCCTGGTTCCCACGAGGGAGGGGGCATACACACATGTATTTGTCTTGCATGTACACTTCTGGATGTACATATGTGTACGTGGAGTGTCTCCAGGTCACATTTAGGGGATTCATTTGCTTTCTCACTGTTCCTCAGAGGAGGAGGATTTTTTCCATTCCTGTTTCCTGCAGCATGCCTGCATCAGAAATGGCAGCAGTGGGCATGCAGAGCCTTAGCACAGAAGCAAGGCGTCCTGGACACAGATGCCCCACTCTGGCCTGGCAGATGTGTCAGCACCGGAACTTTCTTTTTACTCTCTGTGGTTTTCCTGTTCAGATTTGATTGCTTGCTGTTTCCCTATGGTTTGGCTGCTTTTCTGATTTTGTTTTAAAGCCCAGACTTGAGTTTTTTGACTCAAGATGTCACTATGGAGAAGGGCAGTATTGACGTTAAAAACCCAGCTCCCAGATAGCTGGAAATTGCCCGTTCGAAGGGCTGACGGAAGAAAAGCTATGGAAGTGCATGTCCATGACTTCCCAAGGTGAGCCTGTGTCCACAGGGCATGGGGCAGGGCGTGGCTGACTTCCCAGCACTTGCACCTGCCACTGTGTACTGACCTCATGTTGACGTGACCCACACTGTCCAGCAGGAATCTCTGTCTCCAGTTGGTGTGTGTCCTCCTTCCAGATCCTTCTTGTTCTCCAGGATAAGGCTCAGAAGCCTGGCACGGTCCTTTGGGAAGTTCAGATGGAAGCTGTGACGTTGGTCTCCTTTCACAGGGCACCCCTTACATCTCCCACTTTGCCCCCTCAGTCCACCTGCAGAATGCTGTAACTGGAAAACCATGTACCTGTATTTGTCCCCTTTGCCTAGGTGAAGACAGTAGGAGTGCCCTGCCCGAGGAATTTTCATGATTAGCCCTACTACTGAGACTTGCCCACTGGGAGGACTTGTCCCTCAGTCTCAAATCTTCCAACAGCAGACAAGCTGAAAGTGTCTAAGGCAGAGGTCTCCAGACGTGTCTGCGCGTTAAGATGATCTGGGGTGCTCAAAGACAGTAGCAACACCCACGCCTCACTCCTTGAAAGATTTCCAAGTGGTTCTAAGCCACAACTAAATCTGGCATCACTCACCCAAGGGTCTCAGTGACACAGCTGTGCCCATCAGATGTGCCTTCCAGACTCCTCAGGCAAAGGGAGCAGGGAGGTCCCTAGATTGCAGCACAGCACAGGCTGTACTCTGGGTGGGGCTCAGGAGGGACAGAGCACACCCTGCAGGGGACCAACACTGGCACCCAGGATTTCTCGGCCAGAGCTGATTTCACCCTCAGCAAACACTGTCAGACGTCACACTGAAGAGCAGGAAGGGGCCAGGACAGTGTTAACACCCCCACAATGCATGGAGTAGCCTTCACCAGCAAAACTGAGCAGCCCAAAGATGCACAGTGCTGCAGCTGAGAAAAGCAGCTCTGGACCTGCTCTTGTTTCCTTGAGTGAATTTTGCCTTTCCCCAGCCGGCGTCTGCCCTGTGCAGCAGTGAGGAGAGCAGTGTGTGTTGCAGAGGCTGGGTCAGGCTGCATGCAGTGCATTGAAGGGACCCACACTAATTCTGGATGAAAAAGAAGGATGGGAGCTCCTTCAGTGACTAGAGGAGGCTGGAAGTCACAGACGCTCATGTCACTCGTACCATCCAAGCAGCCTGAGGATGCAATCAGGCAGGGTCAGAGGTTCCCTAAGCCACCTGAGCAGCTCGGCACTAATAGCCAGTGCCCCTGACTATGAGAAGGCTGGCAGGCCTTGTCACCTCCGTGCAAATGGTGGCACTGGGCTCCTCTGCACGGGGCTCAGTCTCCACTGGAAAGCATTGGCTGCCAAGTCGTCCTCATTCTTGATCAAACACTCAGTGTGTGGCTGGAATCTCCACAGTCCTGCTGACTTGCTTGGGGTATGCAATTGTGGCCAAAGTCAGAACTGCATGCCAGGCTGACACCGAGGATGACTGACGTGACTGACCTGTGAGTCACAGTGTCATTGTAAAGCAAGGCTGGGATGGGGTAGGCGTTGGGCGTTGGGATTTCTCAGCTCTGCAGTCTCTGGGCACAGCGCTGTTTCTACCTGGTGGCTTGTGTGCTGACTGAATGCCAGGTGTGCCTTTTTCAGACAAGCAGAAAGCCAGGATTCAGCAATGGCACAGGTGTGGGTTCTAGCTTCCTCTGATCCAATCCCAGTACTGGTTTTAACTAAATTCCAACTGCTCCGAAATTCACATCTCCAAAATTAATGAGGGATAACCAAGAAGTAGAAGTCTAATTCAAGTAATTATCAGAACTGCCGGTTGGTTGGCTTTTTTTCACTCCATGCTGCACAATTACAGATACTGCGCAGTAAAGCTAAAAGGAAACATCTAAAGGAAGTGTGTGCACCACGGCAGGAAGTGGTCCACAGCCAGGACCCAGCTTAGCTCTGCAGCTCTGCACCGCTCCTGGCTGTTGGGGAGCAGTGGGTATACAGGAGAAGGGGCTCTGGCACAGAAGGCTGTCTCCAGGAGATGGAGGAAGGCTGTGGGGAGCAGTGCTCACCTGTGCAGACACCCGAGCCCTGCTGTTGGACTGAAACCCAGTGCTGCTCTGCTGCTGAGTTCCCTGGATTTTCTGTGCAGTCAAGTGACCTCAGAAAGGAGACACAGCATAGGGTTTAGTGGCCTGTGGCCTCTGGAGACAGAGCTGAACCCAGCGCCACACCTTTGGGGTGCCAGGGCCCCCAGGCTGGTGTTTCAAGGCTTTATATGGGCCCAGGACTTTGGGGCCGACTTGGTGCTTGTAAACAGCTACATCAACACCCAGCGGCACATTGGTGTCTGGGGGAAACTGCGTGCCAGCTGGGAATTAGGGAGGGCCTGTGTCCCTGCCAGCTCCCTGCCGACTCCCTGCCAGCTCCGTATGTCCATGGCTTCTCTTAATGGTCCTGTTGCCTTGGTGGGTGTTTATTTCTCAGTTGGAAAGGAGTCAGATGGGAAGGAAGATGGGCTCTTCTGGTTTGTGTTTGACATTATTTTATCAATGAGCAATATTAGGGAAGCAGTAATTGTTCATTACTTTGTGTAAGAAGACACAAAAGTCTGGAAGGTTGATGAGCTCAGTGCTCAAGTCATCTGTTGAGCAAATGGCAGATCTGAGATGTGAGCCCAGATCTGCGTCACTGCACATCCATGATCCCGGGTCCTCCGAATGGCCAGTGTGCACTACACCTTAGACTTCCACCGAGGAGTTCCAGCTCTGCGACATGCATGCATGCTCACAATGTGACTTTGCTGGTCACGTCTGCACAGACTTAACAAACTGATGTTTTGGGTCAAAGTCAACAGTTAATATGACCTTGATCTTTTTCTCAACATGAGATTTATAATTGCTTTATAAGCACTAAGTGGGACCCATTTTTGAAGAGCACAAATGAGATGACAGAATGTGTCCCACACCCAGTGTCTCTTTCTGGATTGCTGTGTCATTCTCTAGGCAGCCATGCATCAGACAGACAGAGCCTCGCTGCCCCACATTTCCGTGCAGAGCCAGCCGGTGTGAGAGTGCTGGGCTCAGGCTTCGGAAGGTGAGTGCCGTTTTCTGCTTCCCTGAGGTGGGAGCAGATTCCGGGGAGAGGCAGCCTGCCACTGGCACTGAGCTTATATCATTACTGAACCTTTGCCACATCTGCCAAGGACATTCTTCTCAAAACCACACTTAGGCGTGTTCTGGAACTACAGAATTTTTGTTGCACTCTTACTCAGTTGATTCCTAGGGCGCGAGGCTACATATGGGCCATCCTTCTCTGGATCCTGTGTGATCTAGTTATAGCAGCTTGTTTCTCTTTAAACATCGTTGTTGAGGGATTCTCAGTGGACCCTGAGTTCCAGGTGCCCAGATGGTCATGGGAAGTATGTAAGCAAAACCCAAAAAGAAAATGTCTTACTTCCTGTCCAGGTGTAGACCGGGCCAGGTCTGCCTGCTGTGGCCCCCTATCCCCAAGGGATGGTCAACAGCTACTGTATATGTTCCCAAGAAGCTACCATGGATTTAGAGAAAGAAAATTAATAATGTAAGTTTCTTTTTTAAAAAATTCCTCAACTTGTGTTCAACTTAGTAGTCTAATTTTTTCATGTCTAGGTTTGTTTTGGTTTGTTTTTAGTTGTATTATTTTCATTTATTTGGAGTGGAAGGAGTGAGGGTGGAAGGGCGGGAAAGAGAGACAGACAGAGGAGATCTTCCACCCAATGATTCATGCCTCAGATGCTTACAACACACGGGGCTGGGCAAAGCAAAGCTCGGAGCTGAAAATCCCTCCTGTGTTTCCGTGTGAGAAGCCACCACCTGGTACCTCCCACGGTGGATGTGGGTGTCTCAAGTGCCTTCTTTACCACCATGCCAAACGGTGCCCTTTTTCTGCTCAAAGTCCTTCCTTCCTACTCATTGGTTCTCCTATCTTCAGCTGTCAACCACCCTGGTCTCTGTCATTATCACCTAATCCCAGACTCAAGACTGTCCCTTGGTGAGCTGCGTGTGACCACCTGGGCTTCATATCCGTCCAGAGGAGATTGGTGTAGGCACCACATTCGGACCTGCTTGAGTGATGTGTGAGGTGGCCTGCTCCTGAAGTCAGGAAGGTCCCTGCTTGCTGCTTTGTGCTTGATGCTCTGTTGTCACTGTTACTGTTTTGTGGTGTTTTATGAGTTATGATGTTCTTTTTGTGGATCCAGTACATGTCAAGTGTCACCTCCAAGGGTGGGCTTGTATTGAGGAAGGCACAGCTGTACTGCCAGACCATCATAGTCAAGTGCAGCTCCACACCGTGAGGTCCCAGGCTCAATTCCCAGTATGTCAGAGTCCAAGATGCATGAGGACTGGGCTCTCTGGGGACACTGCGGGGTCACCTGGCTGACAGCGAAGGCCAGCTTGTGAAGTCCAGGCGGGGCCTGGCTGGCTGTGAATGACTTCCACACCCTTGCATTGATCCTCAATAGAATAGATCAAACAAGAGTTGACTCTTGCCTCTGTCTGAGCGCTCACGTGTTCTAGCCTTGTCTCTGCTTTTCCTCACCCTTGAACATTCCCCTTACAAATAACTTCTACTTTACATTCTGTGTGTGGTGTGGTCACCTAAGTTATAACACAACCCCTAACACACTCCGGGTTGATGAGAGATAGGACTACGAACTCTGGACCCTTGAATTACAGTTCTTTGGGCTTAGTTTTTCTTTTTAGTTTCTAGTATATGATAAGGTCATGTTTATTTGCTTTGCTGCTTTTCCTGTGTAAGATCTCCTCACTCCTTTTGGCATTACCAAGTGTAAACCAATGACTATTAACCAACACCTGGCAGTAATCTCCACTGGGAATTTTTTCCCCCACAGGTGAGCCACTAAGCATTCTTTTAGGAAATTTAGTGATTTTTTATAGATTTATAAAATTTAACATCTGTTAACACAATACTTAAAAATCCTCAGTACAGACCTTCTGGCCGCTTTTATTATTGTTCTGAGTAATAGTAATGGCTCCAAGCAGGTGTGTGGTCTGGTGGTTAAGACACCAGGTAAGATACACACTTCCCGTATTAGAACACCTGGTTCAAGTTC